TGATTCAATTTCATAGACTGTCGAAAAAAACAAAACAATGGAAGTTTTTAAACACTTAAATTTTTACAATAATATTCTTTTTGGATGAACATATCTAAATATCAACAAAATTTTAGATCAAAATAATTCATTACAGAAGTTTGAAAAAATCTTTCTTTGTTAGGTGGATTTATTACAACAGAAAAGAATGAAATAAGATATATTCCTCTTTTGAATAAAAATTTATTTATATCGACATATCTATTCTATACACATCAAGATCAACAATTTGTTATTCATGTACAAGTATGTATTAATCGATAAAGAAAAAAGATTAAAAAATGTATATATAATAATGTTTTTAGTGATTTGGAGAATTTTATGTTTAATGAATAATGTTGATAAATCCATGTGTACAATTAATTTAACTAATAATTAAACAACAACATCGTCAGATTTCTTCATTATTATTATTTTCATCATCAACATATGATTAATAGTCCATTACTTGATTTATTATTCAATACAACTATTAAAACGAAAATATGAATTAATACTATACCAAATTCGGAAACATTTTAATATTAATAAAAATGAGTATGTATTAGATGACAATATTGTTATAAAGAACAAAATGTTAACATATATAATTAGTATTTAATTGGAATGGAATATAAGAGAAATCGAATGAAAATTAATATTAATTTTACAATGTTAGTAAATATTATTCAAGTAAGATAATTATTCAATGAAATATATTTTATTAGTTACAAAAAAAAATTATAGCGTCTGTTGAGTTACTTGTGAAAATATTCTGTTGTTAATAGACTCGACCAATGTTATTGTCGCAAAAACTATATTTGCAAAAAAAAAACATCATAAAATGATTAAGTATCAACAGACTCGATATTTTTCCAAGATTTCTACTCGTCATATACTTAAGAAAAAAATCTATGTGTACTTTTTCTATAAACATTATTTGATTGTTCGATACGATAGCAAAGTCTGAACACAAACTCGCTTCTCAACAACCAAACAATAGCTTTCAAAAAGAATGCATAAATTTTTTTCTACTTGTTTATCAGTCGAATAAAACCATTAGAAAAAAGTTATCGAGTGTAACGAGATTTGATACCTTTGACGTATTTCAATTTTCATAGACTATTATGGAATTCTTCTCGTACTAAACCAGGGTTGCCAGATCGAAGAGTTAGAAATCGAAATGTTTTAACCAAAATTCGAAAAAATTCGGAATTTTTTATATTCTACTTCGGAAAAAGTTCGAAAAGCAGTTGTTTTACTATCAAATATATATACCACCTCTTTTATGGACATATGTGTTGCTCTATCAACATTTTGTGCAAAAATTGTTGCCGATATACTTATTTCTTTCTTCAATCTCACTTAAATTCACATCTGAATCATCATCTTTATGATGGCTGAATTTAATTCAGGATAACAAGAGACAATTTTCATGTAAAAAAACACTTTTCTAAACTTAAAGTTCAGTCCATGTCAAAGAAGTTATTGATTCAAATGACATTTTTTTTAAACAATACAAAGTATTCATTGAGTTCGGATAGATGCTAAACTCAAACGATCTTACATTATAAATAGTCTCAAAATTGTATTATGGAATGATTACAGTAGAACAACGACAGCGCATGAATTGCTAATGAACGTTAAATTAGAAGTCATAACCAAAGTCATTAAATCTCGAATCTAGAGAAATAAAAGGTTTCAAAAAAATATTCGAAATTCGGAAGATCTGGCAGCCCCGTACTGAACAAATCATTCATATTGTACAGTAGCGTGCGACATAGGTCAAAATTCTTGTGATCCGATTGGAGTCGGACACTTATTGGATTTTAATTGCAACAGTGATAGACTAGTTTAATTTTCTTGTATTACATTGACTCATCTATACAGATCGTTACTTGCATTTTCGAATGAACTATGTTTTTGTAATCAATTTTAATATTATTTTTCATATAACTTTTGTTTTTTTCTAATAGATTTTAGAAAATTTTATGCTAAAACAATGGAAGCGATTCATACATTAGATAAAAAAAAGAATCCTCATTTTTATGCTTATCTTAATGTAATTTTATTTCATTGAATAGATAATGTAAAAAATAAAAATTATTTCGAATAGATTCGTGAACATAACATTGAATTAGGTGAGCAATATTGAGTTGTATTTAATGATACGACTTATTCAACGTTTACTTAAATATACATCAATAAAACATCTTGATTATCAATTATTAATTGATTCATTGGGTAAATTACGTGAAATAGCAAAAAAAATTAAATTAAATGAACAAAGTAGAAAAACGGAAAAACATTTGTCAATGTTTTATATTGTTCATATTATTGATAATTATCGAGTAAGAAAACGATTGCGACAGTATTAAGTACGTGTTATTGTCGTTAAATTTTAGTCAGAGTTTCTTGCTGTACATCATGATTATATAGAAAAATTTCAAGTTATTGAACTTCAACAAGAATTAACAACAATACAACTACATTTAACTCGTTTTCTTTTCTCCGATTGTCTTGAATATATGTGGAAAGCATTCGGTATGAAAATATATTCCACTTATTCAATTGGGGAATATTCAAAGTTTATTTGATATTAATCCATCATCATTAGCAATTGATGATAAAATTATTGACTGTTTTTTTTTTGTGGAACTCACATTACGTCTTTCTTTTCGAAGAAAACTAGAATAAGTGTAAGTTTTAGAGACACGCGACACAGAAATTTGGACGTTTGCTGAATTCTTACTCATCATATTTTCATTAGAATCTATTTCACATTTCTCATGGCATCCTGATGGTGATCATTTATGAATGCGGTCATTATAGATTTTTATCTTAAGACTAGAAACTATGGGAGATTAGACCCGTATCCAATGAGTTCACCTGGAACTACAAGAAAATTAATTGTACCAACTGCAGCTATAGATTATAGTTAAATATTCTATCACTTTAAGCGTATAAATAAAATAAAACGAAAATGGAAAAAGTTTTTAGATGCGATAAGATTCAATTATAGAATAGTTTCGTCTAGACGCGAACCCACAGTTACACCCTTTTCGGAGGATGTTGATGAAAACTCACTCAAAAGAAGTAAAGAGACTAAAGGATGAAAAAATATGAAAATCATAGTAATTTTAAAAGCAAACACGAATAAAATTTAATTTCTTATGCATCACTCATGGTCTAGTAAAAATTTTTCACTTCAGATATTTTGTATGAGTGTAATGAGACTAAAGACCACATGTGGGTTCTACATTTTAGTCCTTAACGAGTTGTACTGATACAATCTCTATTTTTATTCAAATAAAATTTTTCTTAGTACAACAACTAAACAGTTCGGAATACTTTGCTCGATTGATGGCCATACACGTATCTTCATTATCATTGATTTCAACATTATCGAATAGTACTCATCATCATAGAAATAATAAAATCTATGTACTTTATCAGCTAGCTAAAGCGATTTTCGGTTAATCACTATTTACTTGATAAAGTAAATCAGAAAAAAAAAACAAAAAACTGTAATGTTCAATTTTTCTTTTAGTTTTCACTTATTCAAACATCACTTAAAAATTCAGACATTGATTTAGGTTGACATTCAACTCTAGTTGTCTAAATTTATTAGATTTAGCGCTTAAACGGTTTGAAAATTTTCTTTTTCATTTAAATTAATTAATACTGAATAAATGTCTGTATACGGTTAACTTTTAGTGGTCTTCATAAAGCAAAGAAACGAGTAAGTGGAGCTTTTTTATTCAATCCAGAACCTAATAAAAATTTAACAAAAAAACATTAATTGTCCAATTCATTTATTAGAAGATGAATGGTCGAATAGTTTCGATTCAAGTAAACAAATGAGTGTATCATCAAGATAAGTAAGTATTTCAAACAAATGAGAATTTCTCATAATTAAACTAATACATTCAGAAAATTCCGACTCATTGAACAACTGAAAGAAATTGGAAATGCGTGTGCTCATAAACACTAGTGCTTCAATAGAAAGATTATTTATCTCAGCTGGATAGACATTTACTGAATGATGAATACGCTTATCATCAAGTCAAAACTTTCAAATATATTATTTATTCTTTCTTGTTGTCTATCTATTTATATTGATTACATTTCGAATAATTAATATCTGAAGCTTGTTTTATTCAGCTTATGAGATAGCATAGTGACCAAATATCCTGACTGGTTTGTTTTTTTGTTGTGACTGTAGTGATATATAAAATCATGAGAAAAACGAACGAAATAAGAACTATTCATTGGTTCAATGGGCGTAGCTATGAGGATAGTAAAAGTGACTTCTACTGAATTACTTTTAAAATAATTCAAAACTAAATTTATTGAAGCCCAAATAGAAATTTAATAGATGAACAATTCATACAATTGTGTAGAATTCTATAATCATCTCTAAAGTTATCAAGATAACATAAAGTACAAAAGCCTTGATAGTAATAAATTATGAAAATTGCTAAAAACGAATAAAATAAGTAGCCTCAGTGCCCAAAAGAAATTGTTAAAAAGCTGGTGAAAATCGGCCGATTATAAAATTTCAATCAAACTGGATCGATAAGTGGCAACAAATTGGTCAGTTAGATTATCTATACTCTTAACACAGTCTTATAAGCACTTCCATCAAATGGTGTTGATTGACCAAAAGAAAGAATAGCGAAAAAAAACATCGAAAAAAGTTTATTTTGAGATTCTCAACCAACGAGATGAAGATATTTTATTGCATGCAAAAAAAGGAAAGGCATAAATATAGCAACAAGAGATCATAGTATATGAAAACTAACGACAAGACAATACGTTTCTTTATATAGGTGAGCGTGGGTGTGAATGTCCGCGTGAAGAGTGCATGCAGATGTCAGCCTTCTATTTACACTTATCCTACGCTCGCACCTGCACTCACACTCTACAGCCCACGCTTAACAGAGTCACTTAATGACATGTGGAAAATTTCCGACACTTTTTAGGCGTTTATATTTTTCGCCATTTTTATACGATCGACATTTTTTTCGCTATAATTCTGTTCAACATTTGTTTTTTGACATCTTTTGTGTCGATATATTTTGTTTCGTTATTTTTCTTTTGGTATTCTTTCCTTCGCTAGTTTTTCTTTTTGTCAAATTGATACATACCCTTCCACCTATGTCATTATATCGTTATACTCAATCAAATGCCTTTCACTAATGTTAGCGATGTTCAGTTGTGTAGTTGTATTTGTTTTGACTGTTTCCCGAACATGTTGTCCTTTCAAAGTATGATTTCGTCTTCGTGTCTTATTATTGCTATGTACCATTGTATCGTGTCAAAAATCTATGTCTAAATCAATGAACACTTTTTCCTGCAAAATTTTCTTCTTTCTTGTGCTTTTAAATAATTAGGCGTAACGCAATAGATAGTTTTTTGTTCCTTTTATAATAAAAATAACTGGTCTTAAGTTAGAGATATGCGATTTCAGAGTAAGTCAAGCTAACTCGATAGCTATGCGTTTTTCAAACCGACTTTTTGCATTTGATCTTTTACTATTACCCTACCAAGTAACTGATAATGACTACAGGAAGATTCGTGGATTCGATACGTTCATCAAGAAAAGACTATTCGGGAAAAGTAATCATTTTTGTTTTTATAAACTTTGATCAAAGGTCTCTGGAATAGAGGTGACTTAGCCAAGAAATAAAGTAGACAATTTTCAAGAAACTGATTACAGGTTCGAATTCCTCAATCGCGAAAACCTTCAATTAAACTTTATAAAAAATCATTACTTTCTCAAAATAACTTTTGCTTGATGAAAGAATCAAATCCACAAATTTTTCGTTACTCATTACTTGGTAATGGTAACTTCCCACGTCTACTTTAAAACCGAAGAAATTATTTTTCGATGTGTTGAGAAGAAATGATCAAACATAACTTTTTTCCTTCAAGCTCTCAGATAAAACGGCGAAATTGTCATGTTAGTTCTCATAGTTGCTTCACAACAGCAGATGAGCCACATTCAATTAATAGAAATTAGTTGTATCAACATAAATCTACAAAACTGATTGTTAGGAACTCTCAAATGTCAATGATCTCAATCCTAGGCAAACAAACGATCAGTGAACAAAAATTCTTTGGTCAGTAAATGGTTATGAGTCAGACCATTCGACAGCTTTGTTTTCTTTTGCTTTGGTATTCGCGACGATTTGTCAACGACAACGATGCCGAAGTCCTGTTTATGATGCAAATTATGAACATTTAGTCAAGAAGAAATAAAATGATCTTGATTAAGAGAATCAATAAAAAATATAACTAGACATTTTGAAACCAACTGAGAATTATATGCCTAGTTTGAGAATTGAATATGATCATTTTCGTGACTTGGCTGCTTTTTTGGCTTGATGTCTCAAATATTCGGCTTCCCAATGACCAGCTTGCAAGACAAGATGAGAAAAATAGGATTTATCGTCGCCTAATAATTCATGAGCACTTTCAAACTCGACAACACGGCCATGTGATAACATCTAAAGAATCAATCGTATTTTATCACAGACTAAGCAACCTTTCGAGACTTTCTTACTAGGATTTTATCACTATCAATGATTGTTCGTAATCTAAAATAAACTGTAAAATGCAATCATATTCAAGATGTTCTCTTTCTTACCGATGAGCTATTGTTAATACGGTACAATGAACGAACTTACGTCGAATGGCTAATTGAATAATTTCATCTGTTCTACAAAATATAAAAATTGTTCTATTGAAGAATAATCAAAAATCTCATGGGCTTTTGAAAGATGTTTGACTTTTAAGGACAATGCAATTAATCATTGAATACAAAAGCAAAGAAAAGATTCATTTTTATCATACATTCGAACTAGATCATTTGTGAATTTAGTATACAGTAAAGAAAACAATAATTACTTGTGATCAACATTAGCTGTAGCTTCATCAATAAGAAGTATTCGATTTTTTCGAAGCAATGCTCGAGCCAAGCAGATTAATTGTCGTTGACCCACACTAAAATTCAATCCACCTTCGGTTACTTGATGTTGAAGACCTTCGATCAAATCGAACTTAAATTGAACCTAGATAATGATCAAAATCATCATTCATTTATAATTTTGATCATTGTCTTATCTACCTCATTGAGTGCACTCCATATTTCAATATCGGAATATTCACCGAATGGATCGAGATTAATTCGCAGAGTATCATTGAAAAGAACAGGATCCTAGATTATTTTTTCCGATGAAAATAATGTTAAGTATAATTTATGTTTCGAAAAATTTACTTGAGGAATAATTGAAATATGTCGACGAAGTTCGTACAAAGAAATCTGTTTTGTATCTATTCCATCAATCAATATTCGACCATCAAGTTCAGCCATACGGAATAATGATTGAATAATTGAACTCTTACCAGCACCAGTTCGACCAACGATACCGATCTTGAAACAAAAAAAAAAGAAATAATAAATCAATAGTAAATTGATACAATTTCATCTTTTGAATCCTCACTTTTTCGCCTGGTTGAATAGAAATACTGATATTGCTAAGTACCCATGATGAATCTGGTGAATAACGAAAGGACATATTGTCGAAGACAATGGAGCCAATTGGCCATTGTGGTGATAAAACGATCAATTCATCAATTGTTGACGATTCTTCCGGTTTTAAATCAATATATTCAATCACTCGTTCCGTGCTAGTCATCTATCAAATGATGGTATTATCAACAAAAGTGTATTTCTTTTCAGCGATAGTGCATTACCTGCATCATGACATCAATAGTCAATCGTACTATCCATTGTACGGTGCCCATCAATGTAAACGAATAAGCCAAAATAAGACCCAAATCAGATACAGGTAAATCTAATATCAATACAGTATATAGAATCAGAGAGAGAATAAGAGACAAAAACTTACTTCGATGAACGAATAACATTGAAAATGTAAGAAGACCGATAAAGGCTGCTACCACAGAGTCGACTCTCATTGCTACCCATCTATTCATTATAAGCATAATACTACAAGCACGACTGTGCTCATCAAGATAATGAGAAAATTCTCGTGTAGACATTTTTTGTGCTCCAAAGGAACGGATCACTGGTACGCCTTGAATTGTTGAAGAAAGATGAGAATAGATTGGTGATCGACCTAGCAAAGAGTTCATCATTAAACGAAGAAAAGTAAGGACAAAATCAATATACCGAGACTTTCAAGCCGTTTTATATCACGTATTGTTGGACTAAAAATTCGACGTATTCGTTCTAGTATTGTACCAACAAATATTAATGATATTAATGACAATGGTTGAATGAATACGATAAACGAAATTGTTGAAACAATGCTGGAAAATGCCTAAAATACAGATTAAATTGTTTTCATGCGAAAATTTACGTTCGAACTAATTTGAATTCGAGTATATCAATAGACAGAACACAAAAAAGACTTTTGTCCATGAAATTCAATGTACAATTTGAAGAATTTGATTATCATTTCTTTGTTTCAATAGTTTTGGTGTAGAGTCTTTACGTCGTTTGTGCAGATTACCTCGGTAAAATTATATGTTACTTCAGATAGTTTTTCATCAATCGACGAGATATCTTTCGAAAAACGATTTATAATACGGCCTAAAACGTAAAAGAAATCATATTTTATCTACTAAAAAGTGACTTATCGAATCACCAATCGGATTTGTATCGAAGAAGAGTACAGGTGCACGAAGTATTGAGCTAAACATTTGATTGTGAAGTGTTCGTGCAGAAATATGAGTGGAGAGAAAATAGAGAATTGTACGTAGAAATAAAATAATGATATTTAACATGACGAATCCTAGATTTAAGTAATGCATGTATTATTCATTTGTTCGATCGATAGATAATACTAACCGAGAAGAACGTAGAAATAATTATCTCGTTTTTTATACCATTCATTAATCGTCATATTTCGAATCGACGATTGATCTTCAACAGTACAATTGTCATTCGTTGATTTCGATGCATATCGAATGCGTTCAGCATTTGCCCATCGACCTAGCCACCAATTAACGAATAAAGTAAGGCCACTACTTGTCATGAATAATAGAAATATGATAATGATGCCAAAGACTCCACAGAGACTTGCTTGAATGTATCGAAAATAGACACTCCTACTGACTGCACCAGTATGTTTGGATTCTTCTGATTGTTTTTGCACGGGTTTTTCTACTGTTTGTGTCAGCAATTTTTCTGTTTCATTACTACTAGAAGATCCCGTCAATAGCTAGGAATGAAAAAATGTCTTTATAGCTTAATACTCAAGAACAAATTTGTCTTACTGATAATTGTGTAATGAAGTCCGGTAGAGCTGATATATTCAATGGAGTAGTTGGCTCTGAAGTGGATAATGAATCCAAACGTGAATTATTTGTATTTGTCTGTGTCCATTGTTTGAATTCAGGACACATCTCATATAACTCTGCATAAGTTCCACTTGCTACTTGAGTGCCCTAATTGGGACAATGAAAAAAGAAACATATATTCATACAATACAAGAATTCAATTTGTTTTGATCACTTTATCAAGGAATACGATTGTCGTAGCATATTTTAAAAATTGAATTTGATGTGTAACTAAAATACACACTTTTGAGCGTAAATTTCTCAGAATACATCTGAAGAGATAGAATTGAACTGAAATTTATTCAATTTCAATCATCTACTTTTCGAATATGTGTCGAGCAACTTGTACATCGACAGCTGAAAGAGGATCATCAAGTAGATAAATATCTTCATCTCGATAGAGTGCTCGAGCTAACGATAAACGTGCTTTTTGTCCACCAGATAAAATGATTCCATTGTCTCCTACCAAAGTCGAGTCACCATATTGAAAGTTTTCTAAATCCTATATTGATAATGCTAAGTAATCAACCACATATACAAAAATAAAAACAAAAAACAAACCGTATCGAGACCGGCAGCATAAATGGATTCATTGAATTTTTTCTCATTGAATTCCATTCCGAAAAGAATATTTTCTTTAATCGAACCAGAAAATATCCATGATTCTATGAAAAATAAAACTTGTAATTTACGACAACATTTTTGCATTACAATATCTTGAACACATAATGCAAATGATGTTCACCTCGTTTTTATGTTGTTTTGGTGAAGATCAGAATAACTAATAAGAAATTCATTCTATGTGATCAGGGATGTTCTGAATTCATTGATTGTTGGCTAAGACTTACTATTCTATATACGAAAATTCTATACTATCAACTGAATTTTCAAATATGGATTTAAATGAAATGTGTCCGGAATGATGAAGAGGACTTTTAACAAGTGACATCACTCATATTGATCGAATTAAAAATGATTGCATTTTTGAAATATCTCTTATTATGAACTCCGACAACTGAACTTTTATTATTTCCATCTAAATAGTTCCTTTCAATGTGCAGATTTGTTAAATGATTCTCGCATATATATGGTATTCGGTCATCGTTTATCTATGAGAACATTTTCAGATGCTATCATTATGTCACACTGAAAGAACGAATATTTTACAATCTTCATTTAAATATGCTTAAATTTGTTGAATTCATTCGTTCGAATTACCTTGAGGTACATAACAAAAACGAGCATTTCGGTTTAACTTTATGGTACCACTAGTCATTTTCATTTCACCAAGTAAAGTCATTAGCAATGAGCTCTAGATGTTAACAAAGAAAAAGAAAACAGACGATATTCTCATTCTGATATTATGATTATTCTTATATACTTTTCCTGATGCGATCGATCCAATAATGATAATCAATTCTCCAGTTTGTGCCGAAAATGTCACGTCGCGTAGGTGAAAGGAAGCATTCTATGCAAGACAAACGAGACTATCATCGGTTGACTACTATATTATAATTCTACCTCCCAATTCGATGACAAATTTTGAATATCAATGGTCAATTTATCTTTATTATTAAATTCATTTTGCATAATGATCATTTTTGATTGATTATATTCGTCGACAGTTAAAAATGCCTATTAAAAAACATGAAAGTGACACAATATGAATGTTACGATATATAAATTTCTACCTGAATACGTTGTACTGCTACCCAATATTGGGATAAATTTATGCATGAAGTAGCAAAACCATGCAAATAAGTATGTCGAAGATAGGAGATAAGCACGAAAGCAATCGTAAAAAAGTCCGTATTGAATGGGGCACGTCGATACCAGAGAAGACCGAAAACGATAAGAAAGAATATTAATGAAAATGAGTAACCATTGACTATTTTCACACTAATCATCAATGATTTTAGGATAACATAGAAAGTTTCTTTTCTAAAAAAAAAATACGATTTGTATAGCTAAGAAAAACAAGATATCATTTTCAGATTACCGTCGTACACGTTCGACTTTTAATTGAAATGGTCTTTCCCAAACGTACATTTTAACGAGATGAATCGACTTAACGATTTCATTCATTAGTTTGATACGCAAATCTGTTTGTCGAACACGTTTTGTCCTGAAAAAAAGTAGAATACACTTAGAATTTCTGATAAATCTTGAATGCAAAATCTCTGTATCATACCAAATGATCTGCATAATTTTACCACAGAGGATTTGAATGGAAACAACCAATAATGTATATATCATAGCCAGTAGAATGGTGAAACCAACATGTGTCCAAAGAATAGCTAATACGACAATAGTTTCTAATGTGCCGATCCAAAAAAAATGTCCATCGAGTACTAGATGTTCAACTGTTTGTACATCATTCGTCATCATATTAATAATTTTTCCACTTGACTGAGCTCCTAATGATCCCATCGATAATCGGACGATCTAATCAATATATTGGATGATATTCATATTTATAGGTTTCTGATTATTCTTACCTTACGAAAGATTAATCCATGGTACGCACAACGAATATGCATACCGGCAAGAAAACCACGTGACAAACCCGTATGTCGAATCGTGAACATTAACCAAGGAAAAACACTGTTGAGTGCAGCCCAACATATCATCTCTGCAAATGATTTTTTCGAACAAGGTACAAGACAACGAAGGAAACGTGCAAGTACAAATGGTTGAATAAAACGAAGCATTGTCTACTTAGAAGAATACTATTACGTTCGAAAATTCAGCGAAGTATTATAATACATACATAGATAAAGAGATAGATGCCGATGATACCATAACGATAACGGTATATTGACCAAGTAGCACGTATTAGTGAAGGCTGCTGTTTTTTCTTAGCCAATTTAGTCGACAGTACAATTTCGTTTTCCCATGCTCTATCAATTATAGAAATATATTGATGATCTATTAGAAAATGTCTGCGTCAGAGTTAGGCTCGTGTATGTCAACAGGTAACTAGATCTCGATTTTTTTTCCAATAATAAATATAATTTAGACATAGAACATATTGATAACAATGTACAATACTTATTGTCATTATTTTATAAATTATAGTGTAGATGTTCTTCGAATCGATAGACAAAGTTAGCTTTTTCTTTTATCATATTTAGAATGATATTCTCTCATGAAGTAAGGTCATATGCGAAGTTCCAAAAATGCTACTTAAATTTATTTCTGTTCTTATCATTGAACGAAAGACATAGATTAAAAGACACAATAACTGATGCTGAAATCTTTCGAAACAAAATCACTTGAAATCACTAGAATCGATGAAAATCGATGAATTTCTCTTACTAGATGAAAAGAGTACTTTTATGATGATTATCATTGTACAAAATGAAGAAAATATTCAATAGGATGCTTGTTTGTGTTTTTGATTCATTCGATTCCTATATAATTATAAATTTTCTTCTTACTTTTCTAGTCGATCGATCCATGGTTCACTTTGATCATCGGGCAATACATCGTAGATATCATTGTATTCAAGAGGTCGTTTACGACGTAGTGAAAGAAGACTTGATACCCATCTGAAATAGTATATCAATATTTTGCTCTGTCAACAGAAGTAATGAAGATATACTCACGAATAAAAAAGCTTACTAAACGGACTCGCTGTTAAATAAGGATGCTGATCTGTAGACATTTTTAATACAACGACAAATGACTGATGAAGAGAGAATTGAAACAGCAGTAAGCAATTACTCAGGCTTTATCTACTTTCAAGCGGATGCCTGTGTGCCACGATGGTTTTTCTCTCCGCCCACTCCGCGCCTTCTCGATTTTCTTTTTTGCTCTCTTCTTCTCCCTACTTATTCGGTTCTTTTATTCAAGAGCAAATAAATTATGACGAAATTTTCACCGTTATTCCTCTGTATGCCGTATAGCATCGATTCAAGTGCTGTGAAACAAATTCGAGATTGTTCATGAATAGGCTGATGGTTAATATTTAGAATATTTATCCTCTATTTCAATCACATGAGCTATTTTTTTAATTGATGAATAGACATGTGTTCAAACTATTTTATTTATTCATAAGAGAATGTGTTGCACTAGTATGATGATTTTCAATCAGATAATATGGTTATGTTGAGATTTTGAAGCACATCATGTTTGTGTATCATAATTCGGAAGTACAATATACTTCATTTCATCTAAAATCCATTAAAGTAGGAACACTCTATGAAGAAAAAGCATGACTTTAGTACTTCGAAGTACGAGTGAAGTATCATGAAGTACCAATGAAGTATAGTGAGCATCGCACATCAGTCGTACCTCAATTGAATCTCATTCATACTGCATTTATACTTCCAAGTATTGAAGTCGCACTTTTCTTTCTTGAGGAAGAGTTCTTTGTGATTTGAAAAGACATAAAGTCAAATCAACTAGTTAAAATACCTTAAAATGATGAAGAATTTATTCTCCAAAGTGATTCTTCTAACGCATAGTGCACATGTTCATTGACCAATCTCGAACAAGGTCATATTTCTAGATTGAAGACCATAAAATAA